CAAAAGAAAAAGAAATTTACACTTACTTTTCGAAATTCAAGCCGTCCAAGTCGTTCCGAAGTCCAAGTCCAAGTCCGTCCTAAAGAAAAAAAGGTGTTTTTTTTTAAAAAAAAACATTTATGTTTAAAAAAAAAAAAAGTTATGAATTTGACCAGATTATCTGATCAATCCGGTCAATCCAGTCATCCATGTAACATCTGATCAATCCGATGTTATCCAACAGATCCATCCGGATTATCCGCAATCCGTTCATTCTTAATCCGGATGATCCGTTTTTTGATCGGATCGGATGACGGATTGAATGGATTTTACCGGAGCACACCTCTACTCTAAGTAAATTTGCAGAGCGGACGAAAATACATTTAGTATAGTAATTTAAAGGTTTTATTTTTAAAAAAAAATTGCAATTTAATTTTTTTGGAAAAAATCGCTGGCCACACTGCGCCGTCAACCTGACACACATTTCAGACGTGCTAAAATTATCCTAAAAATATTAAGTTTAAAAATTCTGTATACATTCCGCATGACTAATTTTTTTCATATACATTAGTTTTTAAAAAAAATGTTCAAAAATGAATTGCTTATTAAATATACGGAATTTGTATACAGAATCTATAGAAACGTACATAAAATGTATACAAAACGTATCCTTTCCGTACACAGATTTCTTATAGGGTCTAAATATTCATTTATAGATCTTTCATTTGGAAAATCTGGATCTGTTTTACAGCCAATAAAAACAAACCATTTGTTTTTTCCAATGATAGATTCCTAAAAAAATAAGCATAGTAATTTAGCCGACATTAGATGACCCGGAAACTTCCAACCCACAACAAAAAGTAATGTAAGTTACCCTCATGCTTGTTGTCAACTTCGTAATGATCATCCCAAAAGCTTTCTTAATTACCGACCCGAACTTTCTATAATGAAATGTTCAATATAAACAAACAACTTCAAAATGATAAATGTCAGACATAATGCTTACATAAATCCAGTTTCACCACGATTGACAGTTACAGGTAACGGTGTAATTAATGTATTTCCAAGAAAACGTTTTCCATAATGTAATTTAATCTTTGATTCGGTATTGTCAATCTTAATTGTTATCCTGTTAATCTAAATTTTTTTGGTAATATTACTAATAGCTGATGACGGAATTGATGGAATCACCATAGTTAGTTTAATTATGGGAACATAGAATTAGTATTGTGTGTAAGATATTGAAAATGGGAAATTTACGTGAATTCTCAATATGTTCTGTAATGAATGCAATATAAGAAATACAGTATTACTCGTATTTTTTATCACTCGTATTTATAAAAAACAAGGCTATATAAATTAATAATTTAAAAAATGATAAGGAATCTCACAAGAACCTGGGATCTCTCTGATCATTGACTAGTATGTAGTATAAATAAATAGAGGGAGGATATAAATTACCCTATGAATGGGTTTGATTATCACTATTTATTCAATTTGTATTACGTCGAGCAAAGCGACGACGCCAGTCCTGATTTGGAAAAGTTTCTAGCTGAAAATATGAAACTAAAATAATTATTGATAATATCAATAAGCGGTATACTCGAGATAACCCGAATGAATGAGTATAAATATTTGTATCAGTGAAACAGTCTGTCGGTGAAATGCTAATACCGATGAAATAAATTCTATCCCGAAAAGAAATTAGCAAGAAAATTTGTGAATTATCCAGGAAGCTTCTTTATTAAAGGTAGAAATCAATAAAAAATCGCCAAAGACTCTGCTCAGTCCATATAAAATATTCAACGAATATTCAGCACAAAACTTAGGCTCACATTCGTATCAAACTCGTATTCGAGTAAGAAATTTTGACCGTCGATTCTAGTGCACGTGATCGGCAATGCTAGCCAGAACGCATCGTAATGTCGGCCTGCATTACCATGAAAGGAGGAAAAAAAGAAGTTTTTTTTCTTTGTTCCCAATTCTTTATTCAAAAATCGTGCATTATTGATAAAGTGAAAAATAAATAAAAAAAATAAAATGAAATTTTTAAATGCAGTAAAAGAATAACTAATAAGGTAATATTAACCTCTTGTTATCGATTATTTAAATCAACGCTAATACAAATTTTACTTCTTATTACGTGTCCTAAATCCTAATTGTAAACTAATGAAAGTAAACTTTCAACAAAACAAAACAAGAACAAACTAAATAGTATTGTATTTACGAAAAAAACCCAAATACAAGAAAGAATATTAATTGCATATTTCATTTTTTCCAAAAGAAATAAATTATTACTTTTGCTTCTGTACTTTATAGAAAATATTGAATATTAAATTCCTGATGAGAACTAGTTTTAATAGCTTGTCATTTTAACATTACGTAATTTATTGACTCATGATTCAAAAGAATATTATAAAACTACGATCTGTTTTTCCAAAAAAAGAGTATAAATAGCACGTTACATTCTTTGTATACTCTAAGATCCGATGTCAACTTATTTATTAATCTTCTTTCTATTATAAAAAGGCTCTTGGAAATCTTATCACAGCTAAAAAATAAATTATAACAATCACGTTCAAAAAACTATGGACCACAAAAATTTACAAAATAATAAAATAATAACAGATACAATTTTGCTGATTACTGAATCCCATAATTTATAATAAATAGTTATTTGATGGGGGAGTAGCTATATCGGTCACAGGACCGATATAGCCCTATATGACTATATCCAATAAAAGTGATCGTTTTGACAGTTTTAATTAATAGCATCATAAATAAGTTTTATCTAACTTTCTATAAATTTCATTTTTATGCTATTTTAATCCACTTTATAAGATTATTTAACTTTTCCTACAAAATATTTATTTACACCATATTTTTTTACTCCACTTTATTATATAAATCATGTGTTATTGCTATGTCTAATAAAAATATTAGTCTATGAAAATCTGATGATGTAAGGGACGACTTTATTTAATTTTGAGGCGTAGTGTGTTTTAACTGCGGTCCGAAATGGTAAGATGAATTTTTGTGTCGGGGACAATTTAGGAAATTGCACTACAGTATATAAATCATCGACGTAAGCTTAGATCAATTAGAAAATTCAATTTTATAATTTTGGAAATTTTATTTAAAATTTTACCGGAATTTTATAGGTCATTCTAGAACTCTTGGTTTTCATTTGAATAGGCTTTGGAAGTATTTTGAATAACATAACTTAGAAATTCTTTTCTTTCTTGAATTTTTCATTTTTATTTCGACTTTTGAACTTGTGAAAAATACATTTTACCTCTAATAAATAAAATATTCTTTTTGCATACCAACCGGTGGCAGTGAATTAACAAATTATGCACGTAAAGGTGCGGGTTGGTCCCTACAACGATAACAATCAAATATCATTCAATCGGAACATCTCATAATAATCACTCTATTTGTAAAGTTCTAATATTATCAAAATAAAAAATTATCATAATAAATTTCTTGAATATTATTTTATAAATCGAGTAGTAGTTACCTGTTAGAAGTTATATAACGAAAAAATTTTATTATCCTTAAATAATTCTTGCAAAATTTCTTTTTGATAGATTTTCATAGTAAAGTTTATGACTCTAAAATTACCTAATTTATCTCTGATGAGAATTGATGATGAACTTTTAGGTGTTGTACTTTATTAAACCAAATTAAGCAATTGTGTTTGTTAAGTTTATCTCTATCATGAACGTGCAAAGAAATAATGTAAATTGAATAGATAAATAATTATTATTATTTTGAAATTTGATACTATTAAAGTTATAAATTAATAATTGCAAATTTAATAAAAATTAAATATTTAAGATAGAACGAAAAATTGAATTTTTATGAGTACTCTCTGAACACAATTTTTTTCTTCTGTCTTAAAATGGAGAATGACGATACTTGGTCATGTGGATTTATGAATTGTTGATCGGTTAAGCCTTTATTTTATTTTATATACGGTAAATAATATAAAATAAAGAATATACCCTTTCAGCGAAATGAATAAAACAATATTATAGCAATAATCAATCAATGGCCTCGTAATAGCTTTATTGAAAAATTATTTCGTATAAAACAAAATATCACACCGATCAACGAGAGACCGATGAAATAAAATTTCTTCCAAATTTCTAGTACAGAAGGATTAAATTTATTCAAATTTTGTATAATCAAATATAAAATATAAATAAAATTTCAAAATAGAAATAAAAAAAAACTAGTAAAAAAAATAAAAATAAAAAAAAATAAAAATTTATAAGAACGAAAGATAAATTAAATAAATTATCTAAAACAACTATATCAATAATTAAATAAGGGATGTAATATGACTTTGCAGGATCGCTAATTTGGTGAAATCGTAAATCTACATGTACTGTATCTCTGAAATTTTGGGAAGTAAAAAAAACTAAGAAAAATATACCGAAAACTGATGTACCGAAAATCAATGAAATAAATACATTTTTGAAAATACAAAAACCTATCAAGAAAAAATTCTACCCCGAGAGCGGATACAAATGTTGAGTTGTGCATTATTCCTATCGATGTACAGTATGTATTATGTATTTATTTTGATTGAATAATTTATCATAATATAATTACCCATCAGATATCGATCCTTCAATGGTCATTGAATGTTCCTCAAAATCCAAAGTATCTGATCCCATATTTCCATTTTCTTTCAAATATTCATTTACAGAACTTATGTCTTCACCTGGGAAATCCGGATCTTCTTCACAGCCAATGAAGACAAACCATTTGTTTTTCCCGGTGATGGTTATCTAGTAATGAAAATTATGAAATAAACATGGTCAATATAGCTGATTTTAGAGTACCTGGAAAACATTCGATCATTTTTACATATTTGGTAAAGAGGTGTCCTTAACCGTTAACGTACTATGATATTAACGTACAAACTGATTATATAGAAAAGATGTTATGTATAGAGACCTATGTAAGTAGTGTATAGTGATGTGCACTATACATTGATTTTGTGATTGTACGACATGACAAACATACTTTTTGTACGTACGTATACTAACCATATGTATTTGTATTACAATACAATACAATTACAACACGGTTAAAAGAATTTCCACTTGACATCATGACATGATTAATAGATTAGATATTTAATAATATTCTTCGCTCTAAACCTTCACAGTAATTTCATAAATTTGACACGTCATGTAATTAAATTTTTTTAATTAATAATTTTATTTTTTTGTTATTTTAAAATTATTTTCTATCTTTTATAATTAATAATGTCTTCTATCGACAATTTTTCAGATATAGAAGAATTTTCTGCAGAAGATTTTGATCAAGATAAGGTAAATTAGTTGTAATTTAATTTTCTTAACTGACGTCTAACAAATAGTATTTAAATAGAGCAAAGTTAATAATAATGAAAGTGAAAGCGAGGAAAATGAAGAAGTATTTGCTTTCTTCACTCAGAAATTACAAGTTCGAAAGGTAATACACACAACTACTCCTGTAGAATATCCGGAAACTTCTCCAAATGGAGTGGCAACAATATATAATATAACTGGTTGGAAGAATCATATGGATGCATTTTCAGATGTTAGTAAATATGGTTTATGTTAAATTTGATTTGATAATAGTAGTAAATATTTTTTAATTATAATTTTATCCTTTTTATTATAATAAAGATCCAATATTCAACCAATGGTGCTTGTGGCTCTGCAAATATTAAGGAATGTCCATTTTTTGGAGGAATTTCTGTTAAAAAAGATACAAGAAAATGTCAAGGAATTAAATATTGCCAGTTTTCTAATCCTGAAATTATTAATCAAGAGCATTGTAGTGTGGATTTTGACTCTGAAACATTTCAAAATTACACTAAACAACAAAATAATAATTCTAAGGAAGCAAAAACATATTCGTAAGTTATATTTTTAATTTTTAATTATGCTACTTTAGAATTAGATCATCTGCTGAATATTTAAAATTATAATTAGATTATTTTTAGCTGCAAAAGAATCTTCTTGTCCTTTTAAGAAAGATAATAATGTATCTTGTGATGGAAAAGCTCGTCTTGGAAAAATTGCCAATTATCAGCAGACTGAAACAACAAAGTATTTCATTGGATGTGACAAATATAAACAAAATGAAAAATGGCATCGATTTATTAATATTAAGCCAGAAGAAACCAACATTTCATTACTTCAACAATTATTTTCTGGTACTGCATCTGTAAGTATTTCTTGATTTCTTACATTTTTTTTATTTTTAAATTTTTATTTTTAAGCTAAAAAACATCAAATTATTTCAGATACAAGAATTATCACAATGCAGTATGATAATTCCAAGGAGTTGTAAGCGTAAAAAATGTGGTAATTTATTAAAAAATTCTTAATTAATATTTGATTAATGGTGTTTATTTAGTTTAAAAACATTAATTTTTAATTTTATCAAAATTAAGATATGCCACATACAGATAATGGAGCTGTTGTTCGTGGTGAAATAATTGAAAGGTCATGCTCTGTGCAGTTTATTAAAATTATCCCTCATGACATTACTAAATGTCCTTTTGTTGCACTTATTTGTATTGGAGTCCATAATCACCCCCCTCCTCCACCAGAACGAACACCTTCTGGAATTAAAAATAATTTGCAAATCTTAATTGAGCAAGCTATTAATCAAGATGATACTACAACTTCAAGATCTATATTATCAGGTAAATAAATATATATTAAATATTAATGAACAATTAATAATAGTAAAATATTAACTAAATTTAATTAATTTAATAGGAAATTTGATCAAAGCATATTTTAATAAATAAATTTTAGCAGAAATACATGTTTCCTTAAATAATATTGACAAGTTGCGTTACTTAGTAGGGAAGGCATACAAAATCTTACATCCATTTGGACAGGGAGTGATGGGTGTCTATCATTATGTGTCAAATAAAGATTCTGACTTGATTGATTATGTTCACAAAATTGGTAAGTTTTTTAAATTTTATTGATCTATATATAAGTAGTATATTAATATTAATAATTTAATCTATTTTATTTTAGATCTTTTCACAAATAATGGACAAGTAATCATTATATGTATGCTTCCTGAACAAGCAAAAAAGTTGATTACACTTGAATGGTTCCAAATAGATGTTAGCTTTAAACGGGTAAAAGGGGAAATAAATGAGTTCGAAATTAACACATATGATTCTAATTATCATTTGAGTAAGTTTTTTTAATTTTATTTTTTTTTAAAAATATTAGAAAATATATATTAATTTTATTTTTAAAGTATTGTCATTTTGTAGAGTATTTACAAATGTCTTTACAGCTGAGGGTTACCATAGATTATTTTCATCCCTATTTCAAACAATTTGTGAAATAAGTGGACAATGTATTAAATTTAAGCATATTCATAAAGAAGGTGTTGGGTGCATTTTAGCAGATTTAGACGCAGCGCAAGCTAAGGGGTTGGGTTTAGCCTTATATGATTTGGATTGTAAAAGAAACTGGGAAACTCATTTAACCTTTATTTTCAAATCATGTATTATACACTTTCAACGGTATTTATATAATTTCATTTATTTATTTCTTTTTAAATATTTAATTTTAATTTTTTATTTTAATTTTTTAGAAATTTGCATAATAAAGCATTTAATGTAAATACCAAGAATTTAATAAAGCAAATTCCTAGTGCACCTAGTAAAGAAGCCGTTTATGATCTTTTACAACAAATTAGGGATACAAATGATAATGGAATAAAAGGTAAAATATATTTATATTTATCTGATGTTAATTATATGTTTAAAATTTTTCTAATAAAAAATTATTTTTATAGAATGGGTAGATTATTATCAACAGTCATATGTATTAGCATCATTAAATCAATTTATTTCAAATATTGATCCTGAAATTTGGCTTAAAAGCGGATCAAATACAAATTATGCTGAAGCAGCTCACTCTATGGTAAATAGAGAAGGAAAACAATTGTCATTATTATCAGCCATATTAAGGTATACTATTTTATTAGTAATTTAGCATTGTTATATAAAATTATTAAACTGATATAAAATTTTATTCTATATATAAAGAGGAAAACGATTTGATGAACGATGCTACAAAACAATAGACATCTGTAATAAATCAGGAGTTCCTTACACTCATCGGGACAGAAGTGAAATTAAAAGAACACAAGAGTCAATAACACGTAAAGGTAAACATATTATATAAAAATTATTTTTAATTATTAAATTTTATTTGTGTAAAATTCTAATTTTTTATTATATTATACATAGCATCTCATAATCAAAAAAGTAAAGAATCTGTTATTGATTTAACAAATGATGAGTTGCCTACAAAATCATCATTAAAAAGATCTTCTGTTAATAGAAACAAATCATTGAAGAAAAGTAAACAAGAAAAAAGTGAAGAAATATCAACTATGAATGAAATATCTCAATTAGAAATTGAAGAAAGAAAAATGGCATTAAGGGAGCGTGCAGCTGAGGTTAGGAAAAAAGAGGCTGAAGCTGAAGCATTAGAAATAGCAAATTCTCAAAGAAAGAAAGAAAATGAATCGTTTATTTAGGTCAATCTTAAATATTTTTTAATAAAAATATGTTAGCTTAACTATAATAATAATATCTGCAACTGAAGTTAGAAGTATACAAATAAATGCATTACTTTTATTTTAAATAAAGTTTATATTTTGCAAGTACTTTTACAATAAATCAAACAATTTTGTTAGTCTATAAAAGATAAATATAAATATAACGTAAGATGAATAAAGTAAATATGAAATATAGATGCAGTGGCGCAGCATATGGTTACGTGACACGTGTAGAATAGTTACTGCGGCTGCGCCTTATTATTTGTATTTACGTGCGTTTGGTCTCTTATTTCATTCATACGTACGTACGTTTTGATTTAATTAATATTATTATTATTTATTTGCCATGTATGTATGTGCAGTACACTCAGTGCAACCATACGTACATAGCAAAAGATCGCCATACGCTACACACAAGGGTCTCTATACGCTACATGTTTCCTAATTGCCCGTACAAACTGGCCCGAGTTTAGAGTTATGCAGTTGCACGTGATAGTGTTACATTAACCCTGGCCAGTTCGTACGTTAATATCATACACCCCACTGTAGCAAAAATTATCTTTTGACCCTGTACGACACCCTTTTTTGATCCTCCTATATGTAATACAGTATATGTGGGTCAAAAAAAATAAGGTTCCTTAACGTACGCATCGTGCGTAACGTACATCCGATGTTCGGAATATGCGCTCCGCACATGACTTTGAAATTCGCTCCATATTGATGTTCGGATTTATTAATAGTAGCGCACATTGTTAAATTTGCTTAGTAATATGGCAAAGTATATAGCGCACATCATCTATAAAAATTCTCACACAATCAAAATTGCCATGTGTGCTAAGATTCACAAAGAACAGGTCTTCATTGTTTTTAATTTCTTTATTATTTTTAATTTCTTCATTGTTTTAATTTCTGTATTGTTTTTAATTTCTTATTGTTTTTATTTTCTTTATTAATCTTATTTTCTTTATTATTTGATCATTTTGGCCAAAATTAACGAAAGGTCCTGAAAGTAAGCATGCACATAATGCCAACCAAGTTCATCATAATGTAGGCCAAAATTGTAATAATTCTGGTAAGAGTGCTTACTTTTGGGGTGCTTACTTTCGGGACTTTACATCATTATTTATATAAAGCAACGAATGCCAAAATACATATAATATAATACACAAAGAATCCGTTGTGGTGCAGTTTTGATAAAAAAAAATTATTGACTTACCCTCCAACCCACAATAAGAAGTAATGGTGAGTTGTTTTTGTGTTTTTCATCAATTTCATAGGTAACAATCCCGCAAGCCTTTTCAATTGTTGACTTGGACCCTCTATAGTACGTCAATGTGGCCTATTAAGAAAACAACTTATAATAAGAAAGAAATAACAAATAGGTTATTTACATAAATCCCATTTCTCTGCGATTTATTGTTACGGGTAACGGTATAGTTAATTTATTTCCAGCTTTAAGAGTATGTTTTCCATGATGTAATGTATTCCTTGATTGTTTATTATTAATATTAATTGTTATCTTGTTAACGAAGTTGTTTTTAAAAAGTTTATAAAGTTTATTAAAAGAAGTTAAATCCGTCATGGCTTGTCTGTTATTTTAATAAAAGTCATAGAAATAGAATGAAAAGGCTATTGGGTAAATTATGAATGATATTTGTGAAATTTGCAACAGCAAAAAAAAATTTAGAGAAAAGAAAAGGCTATTGAGTAAATTATGAACGAGATTTATGAATTTGCAACAGCAAAAAAAAAAAAAAAGAAAAAAATATTAAGAAAGTCCACTAGCATTAGATATATATACTTGTTTGCAGACTTGCGTTACAAAAAAGAATATTCTTAGAAGGCTGAATAGGTTTCTATATTTGACGATTATTTTTATGATCGACAAAAGGATGTTTGCTGGAACATTTCATTATTTTAGCGATTATTTCAGTTATGATCAGCAAAAAAGATACGTGCAGTGTAACATATTCATTGTCTTGGGATGTCTAGAGCCGTGTTCTATCACGTGATGTACATGTACCTTGATTGGACACTATAAATAGCCAGACATCATGGCTTATGATCAGGTAAACGAACATGGCTTTATATTTTCTGCCATAAAAAGATTATAAATCATACATTTTAGCATTTGTACGGCGTAATTATATTCATGAAATTTCTATTTTGGCTTACTGTGTAATTATATTCATGAAATTCCCTATTTTTGCTAAGTTTAATACGTAGCGTAATGATTCGAATTTCAAAATCACATATTTCTAAAAAAAAACCTGATAGACTGACTATAAGCAATTAATCCTTTAATAAGTTTACAGTTTAGTTATACTTTTTAATACTCTTACAATAATAATAGCATGATTTTGCGTTGATTTTGCGTAACTGACGCAATAACTATTAAGTTCCAAAGGGTCACATCAATGAAATATATATATAATTAAAATTTTGTAACGTTTAGATTACCTAATTGTAAATTGTGCAACCTTAATTCTATTGGCCAGTTTATTAGTACGTGACGTCGTGACGTTAAACAAATTCAAAAAAGTGAAATTTATAAGACGATCATATAATTCCTGCCAGCATTACAATCCTGGTGCGAAGCAACAGGGCTACAACTAGTAACTATTAGGTTCCAAAGGGTCACATCAATGAAATTTTTATTTGTAATTGGATACATATTTGTTATTTCATAGTGTATGACGTATACACTATACACTGATGGATTTATGCTTTTTTTATACCAGTGGAGTAATTTACAAAAAAATCCATCAGTGTATACATAGTAATACCGATTACATTTAATATATCAGTACTGTTCATTTGTTATTTATTTTTTCCCAAGTTCCTAGTTAAAATTCGTGATTTTTTTTCTTGATATTCTCACGGATGGTGTTTATTTAAAAAGATTGGTAAAAAGTCTATCAATATTGGAATAAAAAGTCTATCATGATTTAGTCAAAATAAGTATATTGAAAGGCTTTAAATAAATCTTATAAATTTCTTTTGATAGATTTTCATGTTAAAGTTTTATTGATTCTAAAATCACCTTATTTATCTCTAATGAACATTTTCAGACGAACTTTTAGGCGTCATACTGTAACTAATTGTGCTTGTTAAATTTTCTCTATTATGAACGTACAAAGAAATAATGTAAAAATAAATTATTATTATTTTGAAATTTGTGCTATAAATTGATAATTGCAAATTTAAATAAAAATTAAATATTAGAGATTGAACGAAAAATTGAATTTGTATGAGTACTCTTAAATTAAAATCTGTCTTAAAATGGAGAATGACGATACTTGGTCATATAAATATATAAATGGTTGATCGGTTAAGGCAATAATCAATAAATAACGTAAATTATTATTATTATTTTTTTTTTCAAGGGCTGCGCGATAACTTTATTGATAAATTATTTCTTGTCTCTATTCTTCAGTTTTATCAACTCTGATCAACGAGATGTGACCGATGAAATAAAATTTCTTCCAAATTTCCAGAATTTACAGAGGGATTAAATATTTCCAAGTTTTGTATAATCATTTCAAAGTAAGAAAAAAAAACTAAAAAAAATAAAATAAAATAGATAACAGATAAGAACGAAAGATAAAATAAAATAAATTAACTAAAACAACTATATCAATAATTTGTAGATCTACATGATACTGTATATTCCGTGTCGAAATTTTGTGAAGTAAAAATTCTGTGAAATATATACCAAAAACTGACGTACTGAAAATTAATGAAATAAATATATTTTTGAAAACAAAAGCCTATCAACTATCAAGAAAAAATCCTATCTAATAATCCCAACCCTTCGGAACGGATACATATGTCGAGTTGTGCATTATTCCTATATGTATTATGTATTTATTTTGATTGTTAGTGACAAATAAGCTTAATAGTTAATAATTTATCATAATGTAATTACCCATCAGATATCGAACCGTCAATGTTCATTGAATGTTCCTCAAATTCTAAAGTATTTGATCCCTTATTTCCATTTTCTTTCAAATATTTATTTATAGAACTTTCGTCTGGAAAATCTGGATCTGTTTCACAGCCAATAAAGACGAACCACTTGTTTTTTCCGATGATGGGTATCTAATTATGAAATAAAAACATGGTTTATATAACTGATTTTTGACCATTTTTACATATTTCTTCTGTCAAAGGGTCAAGTGATTCGGTAAACGTTACTATGTATAAATACGTAAAATCCCGAAAGTAAGCACCCCGAAATTAAGCACTCCTTACCAGAATTGTGGCTTACATTATGATGAGCTTAGCCGGCATTATGTGCATGCTTACTTTCGGGACTTTATGGTACACCGAGACCTCCAAATGAACCCCTCCAAATGAACTACTTTTTGAAACAAAATTATTATTGCGAAAGGACTTACCCTCCAACCCACAATAAGAAGTAATGGTAAGTCATTCTTACGCTTGTCATCAATTTCATAGGTAACAATCCCGCAAGCTTTTTCAATTGTTGACTTGGATCTTCTGTACGTTAAATGTAGCAAATTGAGAAAACAACTTATAATAAGAAAAATAACAAAGAGGATACTTACATAAATCCCATTTCTCTGCGATTTATTGTTACGGGTAACGGTGTAATTAATTTATTCCCAATATGTTTTCCATGATGTAATGTA